GTGAAGTAACATAAATAAAATACCTGTTGAGAGTTTGGTACCAAATAACTTACCCAGAGTGTGTGCACCCTCCTTTAAACTTGATCATGACCAAAGGAACAGAGTAGTTGAGATGGAGACTGAGGCGCAGGAGGTTACCAGGACTAAATACCCTTGGGATCCATGTGGAGGGCAGGGGAGGAAAGGGGAAGAGAAAGTTGAGTTGTGGCTCACCGTCCTACTCGGGGGTTTGAAGCTGGGATGACCCTTCAGAGATCCCTTGATTAGGGTCAAGGGGCCAGGTCTCCACACCAGCCAGTCTTTGGGTATGAACTGCCCGTGGAAGGAGATGTGACCTTGGTCAGAATGATGGTGCAGTTAAGGCAGTTCCCACAAGGGGCTCAGGCCGAGGGAAGTTCACTGTCAGAATCCCCACAGCGAGGGAAACAAGCCCTTCGTTCCTCAAGGGGGTCTGGTGTCTACCGTGTGTTAGTGAGTAGGGCTCTTGTCAAATTAAGTAGGTGACTCCCCAGGGATAAGGCCAATCTTGTTGGGACACTTCCAGTACTTTCTCAGAACCAGCCACTTCAGTGCTGCGGACAGAGCCACGGGGTACTCCGTGTCGCCTCAGTTCCTCCGTCGTGCTTCTGCCAGGGCACCTTCAATAACCCCGCCGTTAGTCGTCTCAGTTAAGTTTCTGGGTTAATGTTTTGCTTCTCCCAACTAGATTGTTTAAAGGAAACACTTTAAAACTTGTTTTCCGTAATAGAATAGCTACCTTGGTTTCTCTCTTAAATATTAAAGGAAAATCTGTTGCTTGAGGAATTCTTGGTTAGGTCTGATAATCCACTCCTGGGGGGTGGGGATGGGTAGGGTGAGTAGGAGGCGAGTGTGTTGTCTTGCAGGGTTTAAACCTGCTCCATTCCAAGAATCTGCCCAGACACTTATCTAGAGCCCAACTTTAGTCTACAGTCAGAACCACCCCCTCCTATCCGCCCCCCTCCCTCACCCCCAACCGCCTTCCCCCCACCAGAGGGCCTGGGATCAGCGAAACACAGGTAGTGGAAAGAGCAAAGCCCTGGGGGTGAAGTCCAGGCTGCCCTGTCCCGTACTAAAGCTTGTACAAATCTCCGGTCCTCAGTGACCTCACAGCACCCTTGTCAAGGTTACTAAGGCAACGTGCGTGTGAAATCATCAGCACGGCTGGGAACCCAACTAGATGCTCTTAACTCTGAAATGCCTTCTGGCAAACCAGACTCAGGAGCTTAAGACGTCTCCTTAGGTCAAAGGCAAGAACCAGCTTTTGCGAGTGAACTGGTGAGGGCTATGACGCACTGTTTCTCAGGAGATGGCCCACATCAACTGGTCCCTAGGCCCACCCCCAGGAATCCCATTTAGCAGCTCCCAGGTTATACTGAAGCACAAGAAAGTCTGAGAACCACGACCCTTTCTCTCTGCTTTTAGCAATGAATTGGCCATTGATGGACGAGCAGATGGCTGGATATAGGTTCTCAAGTAGTTTTATAGTAATTACATTAAAATGACTCCTGTGGGACAACACTCATTGCCTACCTCTGACTCATGGGTAAGAATCCACATCCAGTGTTTCAAAAGATATTTGAAATTTTGTTTCAAGTACTAAGCACCAGAATTGCTCTTTACAAATAACACACACACACACACACACACACACAAACAAATTGACCAGGCAGCATTGCTGACAGGCTGTTATGGGAAACCAGATATGCCCAGTGTTTGTTGAGATGATCATTAATTGGCTTAAATGCTGGAAACTTAAGATATGTAAACATCCACACTGTTTGAACATCTTTTGTACATCAAGGGACTTTTCAAGTGCTTTTGTCTGGCTACAACTCGCATTTACTAACAAAGTAGCAGCAGCAGCAGCGCTGGACTGGGAGACAAGAGGTGCATCAGTCATTGGTAAAGTGAGAAGAGGCAGGACAAGATCAGTGTTTTGAAGTTAGGGCACGAATCATGGATGGTTTCAGGGTCTGGATCCTGTGAAATCATCAACCAAATTTGTATATGTCCATTTTTTCTGGGGATAGAGTCTAGCTTTTCTTAGATTCTCAAAAGGTTCAGAGTCTCCTAATGGTTTAACAATTACAGACTGGATTCTGGGAAAGCTTCCTCCAACTCTAGTTCTAAAGAAAACCAATGTTCCAGCTCCTTTTGGGGTCTAACTGGATGGGTCACTGACTTCATTTGGCTTTTTAAAGCCGTGAACGAATGCTCTCTCTACACCACTTGCTTCTTCCCGGAACAAAACAGGCCCTTGTTGGGCAACATTCTTCACTTTGTACAAACAAGACTATTTTTCCCCAGACAGTATGATTTAACTTGTTTTAATGTAGTCTGCTATAAAAATGGATGAAGATTTCTGCATGGTGCATTTGCTTTACAAATGTTAGTGACTAGTTAATGCCTGTGTTATGGGTTGCACATCATTATAATCTGTTGACCAGTAACACAGCTTTTGCAACATGGGTTAAATACCAAAACTGTGAATCATGGAACTTTTACTTAGCACACACCATCTACGGCAAACTTAAATACTAATCTATAATACCTAACTGGATTATTGGATCCATTGCAGTATTGTGCTTTTTATCTCAGAAGATAGGCAACTAGCAAAAATACACATTTCTTTTTCATTTCCCCCACCCCCATATTACACTGTAAAAGAAATACATTATTCAGTGCACTTCCTAAGAAATAAACTTCCCCATAATATCTCTCTCTATATATCTATGCCAAAATAAAGGAAGAGCACAATGCAAAATTTAAGATTACCATTTAAAGCAAGAGAGGTAATAATACTCTGGGACTATCGCCCCTCAATTTAAAAAGTTCAGCTATTTTATCATCAACACCATCATTTGGCTACGCTGGGAATGAAGCTCAGTGCATGACTGCTTTGGGAAGTTTAAGATACTCCCTTCATCACTGTTAGACTCTCCGGGGCATTAATCGTTTTTAATTGTTAAGTATTGGCCTCATCAAACCATAAGCTGTGGAGACACCGATGTACTCCCCTGCGAGTTACACATTAATTTCCATCACCTGCCCATCAACTCATACTGGATTAAGAGGAAACAGACTTAAATGACAGCAGGTCAGGGGCTGCTGGGTAGATGTCGGCGAGAATGTATGTGAGGACACCATGTCCTGTGACGCCCATCCCTGTAGACACAATCAGATAACCACGTCGGAGCTGGGTGTGGGCAGTCTTGTTTGGAAGAGGGAGATGTTCATTATACTCTATGGACTTTGTTTTCTGTACTGGCCTACAGGTTGGAAAGTCTGGAGGCTTTGTCCTCACACACCTGCCATGATGGAAATAATTTAAGTTTCTAGAACAAAAGGGATTGCAACTCGGAAGCTGTGGGCTAAACCCAGCTGCAGAAGTGTTTAAACGGTTTTTGAATTAGTTCTTGATATTTAAAAATGAGGATGTTTCTCATGAAAATTTGGATTTCATAAAATTTGAGGAGCTGGTACCCCTGGCCCAGCATCTTGCATGGCAACAAGCTGCTGGACGGAACAGGAGGGGACCTTTAAACGGGGCTGGGGCATCCAGTGTGCTGCGGTTCCTACTGCTCCGCTCTCCCACCACGGGCCTGAGTGACCCACCTCACTCATGTACACGGCCCGTTCAGTTTTGTGCCACTAGGGGTAGTTTGGCTCTGTCTTTAAAAAAATATTTTTATTGATTTCAGAGAGGAAGGGAGGAGCGTTAGAAACATCAATGATGGGAGAGAATCATTGATGGGCTGCCTCCTACACGCCCCTGACTGGGCATTGAGCCCACAACCGGGCATGTGCCCTTGACTGGAATTGAACCTGGGACCCTTCAGTCCGCAGGTGGACACTCTATCCACTGAGCCAAACTGGCTAGGGCTGGCTCTGCCTTTTTATGAATCTGAAGACCTGACTTCATGTGGAATTTCCCCACCTCCTATGGACACCATTGCTCCTTTGATTGACTGGGTTCCAGACCCATCTAGTTGCTTTGGTAGGTAATCTTAACATGCATTTCTACTCATCCTTTATGCGATATTGCAAACTCCAAAGATATCATCACACCAATATTTATGTGTCAAACGCATGAAGGGATGTGTGTCTATACAGATATGCGATACTTCCGTTTAGGCAAAAGGTAATTGGTTCCACAGACAGACACCAAGTGCTGGCAGCGTGGAGAATAAGAGTAACAGCTTGGTAAAACCTGTATGATTTTGATTTATATTACAAAGAGCGAATTTTAAATTATTGCTTTTTGATTACAGAATAAAGATCTCATTCTGTGGCAAAACTTTTATACAGAATGAGTGACCAGTTCCTATTCAAGTAATAGCAATCGGAATCAGAAGTTCCTTACCAACAGTAGATGCCTGAAGACATTTTTTTGAATGGAGATGTGATTTCATTCTACTCAAGAATGTATGCTGGACACTGGGAGTGACTTAATTTTTCCAGAGCACAAGAAAATCAGCACCCCAGCTACTTAACGCTCAGGAGGGCTTCTCAGGGGCTCCAAAAGCTCCGGCTGGTGGTGAGTTCACACCCACCTTAGGATCCCCACTCTACTTATGCAGCTTGTAGTATCAAAAACAGTAAAAGAGGATTAAAAGCAGTGCTTGTTTTTAACATTCAGGATTCACAGAGGATCTAATTTTCTGCAATTAAACGAGCCGTTTCGTGTTTTTGCTGCAGAATCACATTCATATGGCAGTCTTATTTCAGGCACTTTTAAAACATGTTCATCTGGAATAAAAATCTGCATGAACCACTTCTGCATAATTGAGAGTGATTCTAGTCCTAAAATAGACAGCAAGTCACCACCTGCTACTCACTCAGCTCCCTCCATCACACCACCACGGTGACCACGGTGACTGCTGCGCTCAGGTGCCCTTCTAGCTTTATATTTATAGTACAAAGAGGTGCGTCATAAAAACCCAAACTACTCAGTTTCTACTTAAAAAAATACAAAAAAGTGAAATACACTAAATGTATTATACAGATGGTTTCAGCTACTATCAAAATAAATAACATGATCTGACTCAACGGTCTGACTCCGAGCTCTTGGACAAGATCTGATGGAATGTCAACGGCGCAGACCCCTCAGGGACTAGCTGTTGGGAGGCAGAAGTATCTCAACGTCCTTGCCGTTGGCCACGGCAGCACTGGAAGAGCAGCTGCTCGCCAGGTCCTCCGCGGTGGTCCCAGAGGACCCCTGGGAGTGAGTTTTGGTCAGGGGCGCGGTAGCGGAGGGAGAAGGCGTGAGGCCAGGTTTTTTGGGTGGGATGGGTGGAGGGTTTCCTCTCTCAGCTCTGGGGATGGTGGGGGACTTGATCCCTGGAGACAGGGGACTCAGAGGGCTGGACACTTTGCCTGGAGTAGGTGAGTGGCTGGTGTCACCCCTTGGGTTGGCAGCACTGGCCAGGTTTCGGTAGTCTGTGCCGAAGGGAGAGCTGTTGGGCGAGACGGGCTTGATGGGCCCCTGTTGGCTGGTGAATCTGGAGAGCACCTGAGTGACCGTGTTTCGGGCCAGCTGCTTGGCGGCGGAGTTGTCTATGAGGGTGGGGGACAGGTCCCTGGACGGAGGGCTCTGCAGACCACTGGCTTGCTGGTCCTGATCTGCCTGGGACTGGAACTTGTGCCGAGCTGCATGGAACCGCTGGTTGATCCCTACTTGGTAGGATGACTGGTAGCCAGGGCTGCTGGCTGAGGACCCCAACAGGCGCTTAGTTAGCACTGGTGATGAGCAAGGCGAGGACGTGAGGGAGGAGGACGCGGTGCTGCTGGGAGACAGTGAGCTGCTGCTGGACGGCAGCTGACTCGGCACCGGGACCGGGCTCTCGATTCCCCCGGCACACCCACCATTCTCCACGGCTTTCTCATGGGCCGAGCCCACAGACTTCTCTCGTGGAGGCGTCTGGCTTTCCACACCGCTGCCTGTAACGGACTCCTTGGTCATTTGCATCTCTGGCTCAAAATGGCCATTGGCTTTTGCATAACAGTAACTGGGAGTGGTGGGACCGGGCAGCCCAGTGGTTGCTGTCTTGGCTACGCTGCTCCCATGGGTTCTTTCTGTCTGAAAACCCTCCGTCTGGCAGAATACAGACACTAGCCTGGGAGGCTCGGTCACTGTGCCTTTAGACGTGGTCACTGGCTTCTTTGATTGCTCATTAGAGCTACTATGCTGGTGAGAAGCTTCTAGATCCTTTACGATCTTCTTCAAACTTTCCATCTCTTCTTTCAGAGTTTTGGTCCGGTTCTCTTCTCGGTTCAGCTTTGCTCTCAGTTGTTCTCTTTCGATGTCGAACTCCGACAGCTGCTTCTCCACCCGGGCCTCCGTCTGCAGGCCCCGCCTGCGCTCGGCCGCCAGTGCTTCCTCCAGCGCACCCACCCGGCCCTTCTCCTTCTCCAGCTGCAGGCTCAGCTCCCCGGCCCGCTGGCCCTCCTCGGCCGCCTTGCTGCTGGCTTTCTTGCACTCGAGCACCAGCATGGACGAGAGCTGCTTGTGGCGGGCGCGCTCCTCCTCCAGCTGGCCCGACAGCTTCTTCTGCTCTTTCTCAAACTTCTTCACTTGGGACTTTTCAAATTCCAACTAGGAAGACAGACCACCACACATCTCGATTAGAGTAAAAACACACAGAGATACACTGAACAGGTAAACTAGAGTGCCCGGGCTAGCTCTTCTTGCACACGGGATGACACGCATGTCACGTGCCTGGGTCAGATATTTCTTTTTTTATAATATATTTTTATTGATTTCAGAGAGGGAGAAGGAGAGATAGAAACATCAATGGTGAAAATCACTGATTGGCTGCCTCCTGCACTCCCCCTGCCACTGGGGATCAAGCCCACAACCCGGGCATGTGCCCTGATCGAGAATCGAACCATGACCTCCTGGTTCATAGTTGATACTCAACCACTGAGCCACACCAGCCGGCTTAGACCAGATATGTCTGAAGTGTCAGGGCACAATTTAATCTTTTTGATGACTTAGGAGGCACCTCTAGTTCTTGGGAAGCCTCAGGGTTATTGGTGGGAATCTGAGCCACCATCGTGTTTCAGGTGTGGAGAGTTCAGCGGGTCAGGACAGAGGACAGAGAGCACATGAAGGAGGCTGTGATAGAGCCGCTGGAGAAGAAACCTAACGCTTCAGCAGTAACTCTTTCTGGGCTTAAACGCAGATACGAGTAGTTGCATTTAAATCATACTTTTTATACAAATGCAGTCCGTTTTAATCATTATCCCAACCCCATTTAAAGGGAAGGGTTAAGGAACCCTTTTAGTCAGTATTTGTCAAATGTTGAGACCCATTCATGGATGGGGAAACCAGTTCGAGTAAGTCATAACCAGAACTTTTAAAAGATAAAATAGAAGAGAAAATATCCATGTGTATTTTAAGGATTAGGTATGATTTCATGATGTTTTTGTTTCAGGCCTGTGTGTATATAACTGGGCTGTGATGTAAAATGTTTCGCCCTGGCCAGTTGCTCAATGGTTAGAGTGTCAACCCATGGACCAAAGGGTCTCGGGTTTGATTCCCAGCCAAGGGCATGTACTTCGGTTGCAGGTTCGATCCCAGTTGGGGCCCATGTGGGAGGAACTAGTCGATGTGAGTCTTTAACATCGACAGTTCTCTCTCTCTTCCCCTTCTCCCTCCCTTGCACTCTCTCTCTAAAGACCAATGGGAAAAAAATATCCTCCGGTAAGGATTAAAAAAAAATCACAAATAAAATGTGTTTCTACTGGGAGTCCTAAGTCAGAAAACGTCAGTGTTTGATGTTACTGTTCCCCAAAGTGCATTCTAGGGAACAATAGCCTCACAGTCAGTGATCTATATCAAGAAAAGATTTTATGAAAACACAGATTTGCTCAACACAGAATACCCTGTCTTTTCCCTGCAGACTCACAGTGTGCATTTGTATACTAGAGGGTCTGAGAAATTGAAGTTAGAAACCTGCTTAGCTTTGTTTAATCTAGTCATTCCTGGACTTGTTTGTCTACAAGGCCCTTTTTCTTGAGCAACACCAATTTACACCTGGCCGAACCGTCGCTGAGAAATGCTATTCCCGGCAGATGCTGCGCGAAGCCCTCCACCGATTACCTGTTGGGTCAGCCTCTCTCTCTCCTTCTCCAGCATGTAGGTGACGTCATCTCCCTCTGCTGTGTCCTGGGCGTGCCTTTGCCTTTCCTCCTCAAGGTCTAGGATCACCTTTAAAGAATTAAAAAAAGTCATTTCCAAATATCAAGGAATCACACTTATAATACAATGAATACTAGTGCCTATCCAGTGAAGCACCTAAGACAGTCCAGAGTCAGACAGACAGCCCCAGTCAGGGCGACCGAGGAGCACAGTGACGTCAGCAGACAAGGAATTTAAATGACAGTTGGAAGAGAGAGAGGGGTAACTACTTTGGAATGGCGAGGAAGCTGCTTTGCCTAAGGAGCCTGGAGGGGGCGGGGACGGCAGAGGAGAGGGGTGATGTCCCACAGAAAACAAGGGGCCCGCCTCAGAGTCTGTATTTCCCAGACAGTTCTTTGTGCCTCACCTTTATTCTGAGACATAGAATGCTGGCAGCCAGGCCTGAGCCAGGGTTTATCCTCTGAGACACAGAATGGACAGGCTCAGGGCTCGGGAAGAGCAGATGTGACGGAGAATGGGGTGAGGAAAGGGGGTTATGTTTGTTTGGGGAAGGTGGTAAGTAAGGGTGGAGAGAAAAGGGAGGTGGGGCGTAAGATAATGAACTCTACATCTATAATAAAAGGAAGTAAGGAAGTGTCTAAAACTGATAAAGCAAAGAGCCGTATATTATTTAGAAATATGGAAGTTACCTACCAAAATAAGTGGTTATTAGAAAAAGTGGCAGTCTGAATGTTGAGGAGCAGGACTGGGAAGAGGTGGACTAGGGAATCTATTTTATAATAAGCAGAGTAACCATGTAATTCACTGCTCAAACAGCGCTTCTCAGAGTCAAAGGGGGCATGCCAAGGTGATGGGCAGAAAATGGACTCCCTCGGGAAAACTGGGACTATAAGCACCCTCATTAGAAGCCTCTAGGTCAGCGGCTCTCAACCTGGGGGTCGAACGACCCTTTCACAGGGGTTGCCTAAGACCATTGGAAAACACATATATAGTTACATAGTTTTTGTGATTAATCACTATGCTTTAATTATGTTCAATTTGTAACAATGAAAATACATCCTGCATATCAGATATTTACATTTTGATTCATAACAGTAGCAAAATTACAGTTATGAAGTAGCAACGAAAATAATTTTATGGTTGGGGGTCACCACAACATGAGGAACTGTATTAAAGGGTTGCGGCATTAGGAAGGTTGAGAACCACTGCTCTAGGTACTACATGATGTCCAACAAAGTCAGTGTTCTACTCTGATAAAACACATAAGATTAGATAGGCAATTAGTTTAAAATAGATAACATTCAAAGACTCTTACACTGAAATACAGTCTTAAGGAATTTGGAATTATTTCTAACCTCTTCCTTTCCCTAATCACCCAGAGCCACAAGTCACCCCTATACTAAGTACCCCTTCTGTGGGCTCGAAAGCCAGCCAGGCATTCAGCATCAGTTACTTCCTGTCTGAAGTGGGAAAAGGCCTGCCTCCCAAACAAGGATGCTGTGAGATTTTCTTAGAGGATTATGTATCTCTAAACACGCCCCCTCCCCAACACACACACACACACACACACACACACACACACACACTTTAAAGCAGAGGTAGGGAAACTCTTTTCTGCTAAGGCCATTTGGATATTTATAATACCATTGATTTAATATAATTCACTTAATATAACTTTATGTTGCTATGATAAAAGCTCCTAGATTTATTGAATTTCGAGTCCTGCCTGTGGTTGCCTTGGCTGGGCCAGACAAAATGATTTCTTGGGCCTTATATGTGGGCGAATGTTCCCCACCCCTGCTTTAGAGCAACTAACTCAAACCCATCGACACCTTTTAAGTTGGGGCATAAATGTCTTCAGGTTATTTCAGTAGACCAGAGGTTAAACTTTCCTGGGTCTTGGACAACTGAGAATTCAATGAAAGATATGGGAAGTTTTCATTTTCTATGAGAATGCATAAGCTTTTGGCATTCTGTGTATTTTTAGGGGGACCATGAACCATCTGAGGGCCATCCATCGTTGAGAACCCCCACTCTGGCCTTTCATTTGGACTCTGAAGGGGCAGAAAACCCATGGGCGAGACCTGAGTCTAAGCAATTTGTCACGTGTTTTAAGCAGATGGCTCCTGAATGCAGGTAACCATAAAAGTAAGCTAAGGTCCAGCAAGCTGCAGCTGCTAACCCAGTTTTTCAGAATAAGTTGCTTCCTATTAATTGTGCTGATGTCCTCCCTGTTGGTATAAATCTAAACCAATGGTTAAAAAAAATGCAGATTCTAGCCAAGCATGTTTTACAGGCCACATCTGAGCAGTAAATGACAAGAATGGGAATAACATCATAAGCACTCGAATTCCAATGAGATGAGGAAAGCACAGGTTTGTCTTCTGAACTAGGGCTATAGGCCTACACACACACACACATACACACACACACTCACACACACACGCACACACACGTATATGCACACACACTTTCTTACTAGGGTAGAACAGTTTTAAGGTAAACAACCCTAGGTACTGTTTATGGTTTCATGAGAAATAAAATGCAATGAAACTTAACACTAGAAATAAATGAAAATAATTTAATGGCTTATAGTAAGGTAAATTCTCTCTCGCTTGCTCATTCCCCAAATACCTGTTAATCTTTCTATTTATCACATAAGTAAGCAAACAGAATGCTCCGTTCAGCTACAAGCTTGGTTACACCCCAGTTTGTTGCCAAAGTTTGAATGATCGAGAGCTGAAAAAACATGCCAAGTGTTTGGAGTGCCCTAGCAGGAAGGAATGCTGTCTTGGACGTGTCTGGCACACTCCCTAAACTTAACATGTGCAACAGCCTGGTTTTCCTTCCTACCTCCTGGCTCCACGGTGAGCTAAGGGGCTTTCTGAGACCTGGGGAACCTCCGGTTGAATTACTGTGAGAGCTGGCAGCGGACACGCAGTATCAGGCATTATTTATACAGTCTCCCCAAGAGCTTACGCAGCCCACGTCACCCGGGGGAGCCCACCTTGCGGTGCCTGCTCTCGGCAGCAGCCAGCTGGGACAGCATCCGTTCCTGCATGTTCTTACACTGCTTCATCACCACCTTGAGAATCGACAGTGGGTTTGTGCAGACCGGCTGCTTTTCGCCATCGTTTTTCTCCTTCAGGGTTTCAAAGTCTCTCTGTAGAGCCATTAAAGGATCGCTGATGTTATATTTTCCATAGCGTTCTTCAATGAAAGTATCTCTGTGTTGTGCCTGGGAAGAGAAAACATTGCATTTTGCTTTTTAAAATTACTGAGGAAAGGGCTTGGCTAGTAGTTACACATGAAAGGTGACGGGTTAGTATGAAGAGAACCTGTTGGCTACAGATCCGATGGAGCCATCTACACGCAGAAATGACATCAGAATGGGGGCACAGGATGATGTTAACGAGAACACATGCTTATACAGAGCTAACTACGTATTAGACGTGTTCTAAGCATTTATATTAACATGAACTTATTGAAGTTTTACAACCCTCTTAGGTAGTGACATCATCTCCACTTTGCAGCTGAGAAAACTATTAGGAGAGGTCAGGTAACCTGGTCCAGGTTACTCATCTAGCGAGTGGTCAGACTGGGATTTAACCCCACGCACCTGGCTCTAAAGTTTGTGTCCTTAACCTCCACACTCACGGCTTCTGCTTGTGAGGCTTATATCCCCCACAGGCGTATCTGGTCTTTTCTTTCTGAGTTATAGCACTTGCATTTCTAAAATATGCTAAGCATGAAATTTTGTGAGTTTACATATTTGGAGACCTATCAAGGTGGCTGTAGATAAGAAAAGCATGCTAAAAATGTTCTTGAATTATAATCTAGGACTATCTGTGATTTTTACATACAGAACTTCACTCAGTTGGTGGGTCAAGAGGGCAGAGGCACTTACAACCAGAGGTGCAGACAAATCCCTTCTACCTGCTGCCAAATTCCACCCCCTCTTCTAGTCCCTGCTCAGCTGCTACCTTCCACCCCCATCCGCCCCCTTCGGGGGTGGTGAGCTCTGAGGATGAGAGGTCAGCAGGGAATGCAGGCTGGTGTCCAGTCGGGTCTAAGGGTCAGGAAGGGAGTGGAAAGATATTCTCAGGCTTCCGCTTCTCTGCTCTCTGCTAGGAAGGACTGAAGTCCTGCGTAGGAGCAGCATATAGTATGTGCCGGCAGACAGAGTGACATTAGCAATTACTTTACTCCAGACATTAAAAGTTTCCCAAGACATTTTACAAAAAGTGTTAATATAGCACTGAGAAAACTTTCTCAAAAACCACAGCCAAGTACCATATAATGTAAGCTTTCAAATGAAATCTAGTTAAGAAAATTACTGTCACGTATCAATTTAAAAAATTATTTCATCAGGGGCTATATTTTCTTATAACCATCCACAAATAGGAACCCATTTGAAAGAGGAATTCACAATTCAACGGCTATGCTTACAACAAACAAACAAAAAACAAACCCTAAATAAAATAAAGCATGGGGCTTCTTTAACACAGAAGTATGTTTCAGTGCTGAAAATCTGATGCTTCCTTTTCCCTTAAACTGTTCAAGTTCAAGACTCAGGAATCACAGCCTATGCTACTCATTTGTGTTGGTATCAGGTGGCAGGTGTTCAGTGCAGTTAGAAGCACTGGGTTTTACTTCTGTCTTGGGAAAAAGATGACATTATTGGAGTCTCTGGATAATATCTGTATACTGGAAGTAGGAAAAGGGAACTCCATTTGTTCCTGATAGCCATCTTCTTTGCTCTGCTGTGTGTGTGCGCGTGCATGTGTGAATTAAACAGGGGAGGGACCTGATTTTTTTCCAGTTCCAAATAAAAAAGGAAATTTTCAGTAAAATTTCAAAATAAGCTCTAGTCCATTCAGAATGGAGAAAGACAAGACCAATTCCTGAACTGCCTATTTATATTTTATTATTATACTTCAAAATCATGGTGAGAATAAAACAAAAAAGCTAATTTTCAGTTACATTTTGTTTAAAAACATTTTAAGGGCACACATTTTTAAAAAATGTTTTATTTTTTAATTGATTTTAGGAAGAGAGGGAGAGAGAGAGAGAGAGAGAGAGAAATTTCGACGAGAGAGAGAAACATCTATCAGTTGCTTCTTGCACTGTCCCTGACGGGGGATCGAACCCACAGCCTGGGTATGTGCCCTGCGACCTTTCAGTGTAGGGGACGACACTCCAACTAACTGAGCCACATTGGCCAGGGTTTCAGTCAAACAACATGGGACTCATCAGCGTTTTCCTTCCACCAAGAACACTTGTTTCTTTATTTTCAAGTATAAAAAGATGAGTTTGATAACCTAGGATTCAAGGAAAGTATCGATTTACAGCTATTCATGTCCTAAGGCAAATCCATGGTTAGAAAAATACTTGGACAAAGGAAGTAAGAGGAGAAAAAACTCTTTAAGAGGTTGAAATTCCACTTTTCCGTCACTCCTTTTATTCATAGTTACCATTTCTGTCTGATTAGCGATGGCAAAGGAATCAAAGGAATGATTACTGGTACTGACACTGCTTTCATAGGGCAACCCCTCCCCTCAAAGAAACCTTGTAAACCTGCGTGTTTTGTGACCTTTTCCTTGTCAGAACACCACGGAGAAGAGGGATGAGAGCAGGAGCTGGGGGACAGCTCATGACCTTGACATTAGATCTGCTGAGAAGCCGTCTCTCAGGTTTGAGTATGTAGTTAACTAATCCTTAAAAATATGACTTTTTAAAGCCCGCACTGTTATTATCCTGTATAATTAATAAGCACCACCGAGCTACGAGTAATGGACAAGGAGCCTGTTTGGTGAGCCTCAGACTTCTGAGAACAGTTGTTAAGCTGTCTGTTTTCTCTTGAAGTTTCACAGTAATTCCGTAATCACTTGCATAGTAATTACAAGTTGTACAAAATTGGTGGCTTTGCACATAAATGAAAAGAATCTGAGGAATAATTTTAAAAAGGCTCCTTGTCACAAAACTCTTCATTTAAATACATTCTCATATGGGAACAGTGAATTTGAGGTCTATATTTATTATACCAAACACTGGATTGGAAAATGGGAGACAGAATATAGTATTTTTCAATCAATTTAATGCCGCAATCAGGCGAATTGTATGGATGACAGGTTTACAAGTAATAGCACAACTAATAACAATGACAATAATAAAAAATAGATGTTAAGATTTGAAGAATGAAAGAAGAGCTTTAGTGGAGGTGTGTATTGGTCATCTATTCCTGCATAACATTGACCCCAAAACTTAGCAGCTTAAACAATAAACATTGTTTTTATTTCATAGTTTCTGAAGGTCAGGAACCTGGGAGGGGCTGGGCTGGGTGGTTCTGGCTGTGTCTCAGGAGGTTGCAGTCAAGCTGTTGGCCAGCACTACCTCATCAGGTGGGCTGGGGCTGGTGGGTCCATTTCCAAGCTTACTCACATGGCTGTAGGCATAGGCCTTGGTTCCTCGCATGTGCTGCTTCCCACAGCGCAAGTGATGCGAGAGACAGACAGACAGACACAGCAAGATGGAAGTCCCAGTGTCGTTTATAACAATCTTAAAGTGATATCCCATCACGTCTGATGTATTCATTGGTCACACAGACCGACCCTGGTAAATGTGAGAGGACCCATATATAAAGGTGGGACTATTAGGAGGTGGGGTCACTGGGGGCCAACTTGGAGGCTGGCTGCCACAAGGTGAGTGACTCAATATGCTTCTATCTATCTATCTATCTATCTATCTATCTATCTATCTATCATCTAAATATATTTTTATCGATTTCAGAGAGGAAGGGAGAGGGAGATAGAAACATCAATGATGAGAGAGAATCATTGATTGGCTTCCTCCTGCACGCCTCACACTGGGGATGGAGCCTGCAACCTGGGCATGCGCTCCAACAGGGAATCGAACCATGACCTCCACTGAGCCACATTGGCTGGGCCATGCTACCACTATTTATATCTCAGGTGAAAATTTAGGAAAAACTGTCAAGGTTGAGGTTTAATACTTTAATGGTATTTCAGCTATTTTATAAAAAATATATAAATGATCTTGATTTGCCTTTTGGGGGGAGGAATTCAGTAATACAGCTGAAACCAATCAATTTCTTGTAATTTCATTATTTTCATTTCAACAATAACATACACTTTAATTGCACAGAAATTCCTACATCGTCAGAAAACATAATGCTCTGTAATTTCAGACAACAGGAAAATAATCGGCTGGTTAGACAGATTCAATTATACAGGATATTACTACAGCAGACAACGCATACTAGTCATCTATACTCATTTATTTTTACTGTCCCAGGCTGAATGAAACACCACTACTGAGAGCTTAACATAAGCCACACAATACCCAGAGCGTCTGTCATGCTTGCTCTCCAAAACTTTAGCTTTTATGACCAACTTCAAAAAGACACATGAAGCAGTCACCTCCTCTCTCCTTCCCAATATTATCTATATTATTATAGGAAATTAACCTCTTACTTTTTTTAAAAGTAAAAATGTTAAAGAATTATTTATTGATTTTGAGAGAGAGAGAGAGAGATTTGTTGTCCCACTTATTTATGCTGTTCCACTTATGCATTCATTGGTTGATTCTTGCATATGCCCTGATCGGGGATCGAATCTGCAGCCTTGGAGTATTAGGATGACACTCTAACTAACTGGGTCCATGTGGTCAATTAGTATTTATCTCTTGCACTGATTGAACATTTCCCATTTATCTTTTTTCCTTCCTGCCTAAATTGTAAGCAACCTGAAAAGCACTTGTCACACCTCTTTCTTCCTCCTGTGTCCTGTATTATGTCTGAAGCCCGAGACACTTAGTTGATATTTACTTTTCGGTCTTTTTCCTGATGTCTCAGCCTCTCCTTACTCTCATCTTTTTTGTGAGGTCAATATTTTATTATGCTATTAGTAAAATCTATGGTTTACTTGTATAATCATTTAAGGTAACAGCAATTCATACATTCAGCAAACTGACCCTGGATAGAATGCGCTTCAAAGATTACTTCTGGAGTCAGTTGGCATCCACAGATATTTATAAAAGCAATTATTTACATAAGGAGGGATGATCATTTATTAGTATTTGACTCAAGTGCACTAAATTCTTTGGAAGTTTAGTACAAATAGCCTCAGGGGGGTACTTCTAGCTGGTGAGCTGCTTGTTGATAGAAAAAGAACATGGGTAAACAGCATAGTAGCTGCGTCAACATTCAAATTCCAGAGTCCTATGAAAGTTTCTGGTAAAATGGAAATAAATGTGTTAAGGTTTTGGGGGCTATTCCTATACATGTAGTTAAAGCAAATTATATATACTTTCTGGCCTGAGTCTACAACTTCAGATGAGGAAAAAATGTGTGAAGGGATTCAACTAGTCCTGAATAAATGAATGCTCTGAACATAAATCAAGGATTTTAAGTATAATTTTAAATGATACATTAGATCCTAATCCCTCTTGTTCAGGAGATCATATATCTCTTAAAATGAGAGTTGACACCTGCCTTGAAACATACACAAAAAACAGGGATGGATCACAGACCTGAGGATAAAATAGGAATGGCCAAAAAAGCACATGGCAGAGTGCTCACCTCACTGGTGACAGGGAGGTATAAATTAAAACAGTAATAAGACACGAGAAGCCGAAACCGGTTTGGCTCAGTGGATAAAGCGTCGGCCTGCGGACTGAAGGGTCCCGGGTTCGATTCCGGTCAAGGGCATGTACCTGGGTTTCGGGCACATCCCCAGTGGGAGATGTGCGGGAGGCGGCTGGTCGATGTTTCTCTCTCATCGATGTTTCTGACTATCTCTCTCCCTTCCTCTCTGTAAAAAATCAATAAAATATATTATAAAAAAAAAAGACACGAGAAAAGCTAAAATCTAAAGGTTGACAACATCAAATGTTGGAGAGCATATGGAACAACTAGAACACTCACACAGTGCTGGTGGGAGTATAAATGGTGTAACTACGTTGGAAATTAATCTGGAAGTTTCTCATAAAGTTAGAAAAACGCCTTTCTGAAATTCCACCTCTAAGTATTTAGCCCAAAGAAATGAAAATATATATTCACAAAAAGACTTTTACACAATTATCCATAGCAGCTTTACTCATACTAGCTCCAATGGAAACAATTAAATATCAATCAATAGAACAAATGTGATGCATTCATATAATAGAATACTATTCAGCAATGAAAAGGAATGAGTTACTGATGAACTTGAAAACAATAATGATGAACCTTAAAATTACTATACCGAACAAGACAAAACCAAAAAGCCAGATATAAAAGAATACATTCTGTGTGATGGTGTCCTAACAGGCAAAACTAATCAATGGTGAAAAAATCAGAATAGTGGTTGCCTCTGGGGCTAGGGAGACAACTGACTAGGAAGAGGCACAGGATTACTTTTTGGTATGATGAGAATGAGAATGTTTCTGTCTTTATAGGGGTGTAGGTCAAATGGATGTATGCATTTGTCAAAGTTTATTAAACTGACCACTTAAGATCTGTACATTATTACACCAGTGGTCGCCAATCTTTTGGACCTCATGGACCACTGGTTGGCGACTGCTGCATTACGCTGTATCTAAATTATATCTCTAGTTAAAAACTATAAAAAATACATAGTAAGCACTAATGGGAAAATTAAGTTATATGTAATATAAGCTGCTATATATATATATAATATATATATATATATATATATATATATATATATATATATATATTCCCAGAAACATGGGAAGTTCAAACCAAAGTTATTTAAGTCATGATAAGAACAGCAGAAACAACACAGGAGGCACTGACAGTGGAGCGCGTATTGCCTGTCAATCAGAGTACCCGATTGTTACGCCTCTAATCTAACCTAACCTACAGTATTCCCTGGAGGTAGGCTTCACTCTATCTGCATGTCATAGAAGAAACTGAACATTAACTTGTGGCTTTCCCAAGGTTACAAAGCCAGTTAGTTAAGTGGAGAACAGTAAATGGTATATAGTAAGTACTGAATATGTTAGCTGAATGAGCAATACATAGACAGGTATTCCCCCCAGGACTCTGTAGGAATGAACTTCAATTTAGTTCGTCTCAATCAGTAGGTTAAAAATGAAATAGAAAACATCGCAGAGCACTGAAAAAAGACCTTTCGAGAAGGACTTCTTTTGGCACAAGAATACAGGGGTGTGTGTGTGTGTGTGTGTGTGTGTGTCCCTTGGGTTACAATATAAAGTCTATTTTTCACGGTGTACCTGTCAAATAAGTTTGAAAAACACTAGAATAGAATGAAGAACCCAAAAGTCTGACTCCTGAATCTATGAGTTTAAACAGTTTAAGCTATAATAAATATGTAAAAACTAAAAGTAACAAGGAATCAGTATAATTATTTTATTTTAAACTAACTAATGTGATAAAAGTCTACCAACCAGAAGTTCAGCCTAATATCAAATATACAAAACACAACAAACAAACAAAAATCTGTGCTATTAGGGTTAGCTAGCACTGCAGAAGTTGGGGAATTTTCTGGACTATGGGTGCTTCACAGGGCACGTGCTTTGGATGCTTTCATTGAACACTTACTCTGCTGGGGACCAAATATGCTAAATGATGAAGGCGATGATCTGGGGACACAGATCTGACTAAAGTAAGATTTCATCCTCTGCTTTTAAGGAGCTGACAATTTGCCAGACAAGT